ACTTTTGTTTCAGGCAAATAGGTATTTGCAAACTAAACATGCCTGAGAATGGAAAAGATCTATGTTAGTAATACATGCCCAGCATACTAGAGACCAGCCAAGGCTGCCTCATCTTTATGTGATAGTTGTCTGCTGGGGAAGAAGGAGCTTCCCAGCAATTCTTCTTTCTCTAAGTCCCAGCAATTCAGAGGTTCTGAAAAGGCAGCAGGCAAATACACCCATGTACCTATGCACATCTGGATGGTCCAGGATATTATAGCTCAAGTGGCTGATATGTTTGATCCCAGGCAAGTTAAATCTTGTTCCAACTGGACATTGTCGCACAGAAGTCTTATCAATCAAGGTGTACTGTAGACCCTGTTCTTGTCATGTGACCATCCTTTGTGTTGATGTTTATTCTGTCCTGGTCCACATGGCTGTTCATGATATAATAAAATCAGGGAGAGATTTTGAAGAAGTTAAATATTCCACAACATTCATGTGTGCCAAAAAGCACTTATTAATGAAGGGACAATTTAGGCTCTATTTGGCTGAGTTCTACAGACCTTCTTTCTTCAGTCTGATCTCTCTGTTCTGTCTTCTGCTATCACTCTGGTTGGTCTTTCAGGCTGGGTTCATCTTCAGTGAAATGTGAGCAACTGGTGAATTTTGTCATTTGTTTTTATATGGTGGCTGTGTGGAGTGACAAGGTATTTAATTGTCCTGCTGTAACTGAACTGGTTGCCAAGCCCATATCCCAAACGTGAGGAAAGGGAGAAATCATTACTGCAGGAAATTAGGGCAGTGGTGATGGAAATATCACTTTATTTTTTGAATTACAGGGTAGTGTAACCTTGCTGTTGACAAGGGCATCATAATCTTTTCTGCAAACAACTTTTGTCAGGGATTTACAACTCTGAAGAAATTTGTCTAGACCTGAAACTTGGCATCATCTTGTTTAGCAAAGTACTAAATTGATGTCATATATACTTTAAAGACTTGTAAGTGCAGTACATGTTAAGTTCCATGATAAACTATGGCTTTAAACAGGTGACATTATATCTCCTTTGGGGGTTTACCTAGACACAAAAAGATTGCAAGGACTTACAGTGAAGGCACTCTGTATAGAAGATACTGAGAAGAAAATAAAAATGAAAGAGCCCTTAAAATGAGGAGATCCAACAAGCCTGGATTTCATGTTCTGTGACTACACGAAGAGGCTGCAGTGCCTTTACTACAGTTGCTGTAATGGACACTAAATGACCTGAGAAGGATTCACTGGGGGCAGCATGTTGACACTTGCCACGCTCCCTGCTGTGTGTGAGCCTGCTGATTGTCTCAGCTGTTTATCAACTGGATTTAACAACTGCAGCACCAGTCACAAAGAATTTACTGTGGCATATTCATATTGCTCTTTCCTTGTTGGTTTCACAAAATGTTTGTATAAGCTGACCTTTCTGTTGAGGAGGTATTGGAGAGAGTGGCAGTGGTGCAGATGCAGGACGTTCCATGTTGACCTTATTGTGTAGTTTTCGAATTGGTAAGGGATTGAAGCAGGAAGGCTGTCAAAAAAGAAGTTTCTGGTGGTTTCCTAACAAGATGTACCTATCAGGATGTAAATGCATTATTTTTAAGGTCAAAGAACAGGTGGATAGTTTTGAAATGGGCTCGTTAAGGCAATAACAATCTGATAGAGCTGACTCTCCTGATTTCTTGGGAACGGTTAATTGAAAGGATATTTAGGTTTGGTTTGATACCTCTCGATAAACATTCTCCCCACAAATCAGTGGAAGTATAGAAATGCACATCAGTTTTATTGGTAATCAGCTTGGCTCTGTCCAGTATTCCAGAGTTTATGATCCCCTTTGCTGTCCCTATAGAATGGCTTTAAAGCTCACTCGGTGCATATTCAGAATTCTGGCATTTTGCAGTTGCTCTTTTATCTTTATAATAAAACATGTATTTAACAACAATTAAATGTTGAAACAGCTTGCTGGCAGATGGGATGAATTTTCTATCTCCTGAAGTTTTCAAATTGTCTTTCAGAAATATGTTCATTTTATGGTCTGTGTTATAGAGAAGAATGAACCAGGGTATTGTAGTGGTTTTTCTTGACTTCAAAATTTTTCCATATTTCTGGTGTCATTTTTTTTTTCCAAATCACTATGTAGAGTTTTCTTTATCCTTCTAATTTCCACCCAAAACTCCATTTATTATCTAGTCTTTAAGTCATGCCTAATTCCTTAAACAGCTAAATACCCAGTGGTAAACAGAACTAATAATGTGGTTTACGTGGCTCAAATGGCTTGTGCCTTGAGAGCCAGGAGACCCTTTTCTGTTAAAATGGTTCAATACACTGTGGGCCCTGATCTCAGATACTTTGAGGTAAGTTGTGCTGTGTCCTTACACTCAAATAATGAACTTAGAAATATCAGTAGAAAAAGTGAAGTTGTTAACTGCAGCTGCTCTTGCATTCCTCGCGTTCTTTAACTAAAGGACATGCGTTGCTAATAAGATCCCATACTCCAAAGAATGGTTTCAAATATAAAACTGAATTGAATATTGATTTTTAATTTTAGTTCATTTAGTTGCTTGTGTGTTTTTGGTTTTTTTCTGAAGTGAGGTAACTGGTTTTGGTGCTTTGAATGAAAATGCAATTGCTGAGATACTAAGCTGTGGAATGTGGTTGCTACTTGTCTGCATTAACAGCCATTTGAAAAAATTTCGTATGGATTTTCATTATGCCCTTATATGTAGATTTAAATACCCTTTATTAATACACTCAATTGAACAATAACATACATTTTTAAAGTGTCATAAATACAGGGAAAACTTAACTACCGCAGTTAGGCAATGGTCAACGTTTTTAAGCTCAGCAAGATTAATATTAGCCATGAAACTGCATCTGAAAAACTGCCTTAATTCCTGTTTTATGGCTATTACAGTGCTAATCTGCTGAGGATTTACTTATTTGGCTAAAACAGTTTGTTAAATGACTTCAGGAGTTCTAGAGTCAAAAATACATATTTATGGAATGCAGTAATAATTTGTTCTGCTTTAAAGGACAAAACACTGGTCTTCAATTTCTGACAAAGAGCAGTATGAAATGGAGTTGAAAAGATGAGGTTGTTGGGCAGTTGATATTATCTAGTAGTGATCTCTCATTGGTTTGCAAATTAATCCCTCCACTAGCAAAAGAGGAGATGGAGTGAAAGGGCGGATAAATAGCTTGAAAATTAGTTAGATCAATTTTCCAAAGAATATTAATACATCATTTTCTGTCCAGCTGATGCTTGGCAAGAAGCTTAGTGCACCAAGGATCAGTTCTGGGGCTGACATTACTAAAGATCTTCCTTAACAACCTGGATAAGGAGAGAGAGTGCTCCCTTGAGAAATCTTGAGGTGATGCACAACTGTGGGGATAGTAAAGCTGTAGTTCAGAGGATCCTTCACAAACCTGAGGGTTGGGCTACCAAGGTCAGAAGGCTTTGCAGGCGTAAACCATTTGTTGACTCAGCTGGAATTTAAAGACCAAATTTGTTATTGTTATTTAAATAAGTAATGCAGACCTTCACAATAATTTAAGAGGCTTTAGTTCAGATCACTCTAAACTCTGTTGCTTTCACTGCATATAGAAGAGTTTGGAGTGCAGGTGGAGAATTGATTTGCAAAGTGGCTGCAATAGCTCCACTCAGAGCGCGTGGGCTCTCCCGACTGTTCCTGGGCTGCCTGACAGTTATAGGCCAGGGATATTTATATGGCTGTACAGGGAAAATAGGATCTGTAAATTGGTATTGTATAGAGCCAGATAGCTTTTCAGTGGACAATAGGCTGTTTCATTATATCAGAGCTTGCTAACACTTTGCGCTCTTCTGAGAGCTTCAAAAAGCTGAAATTCTACTTTGCCATTAGAGTTGGTTCATCTATTACGTGGCCTCGGTAATGTTATTTGGAGGTAAGTCTTGGAGAGTGAAAATGCCTTAAAGCATAAAAATGGAGGGATAATATAGTGTTGTAGGTGTCAGTCTAGTATTCATCACTGTGAGAGGTTTATCTTCGTTTTATTCTAATTGAGAAGTGAGTCTGATGTTTGAAAAGCCCAAAATTACAGATGCTTATGTGTTGGAATGGCTATTGTCAAAGTATGGAGGGAAAGGCACCCTGTTGTTGCAGTCTGTTAAAAATGATTTGTTGAAAATTGACTTTGAGTGTTCGTACTGGAGGTCAGAGTTCTCTTTAGAGGCTTCTGCTTCCATAGAAATATCTAGAAGTGCCACAGTTATGCCTTGCTATTAAAGGAATGATTTTGTTACAAATACTTACCTGGCAGTGCTTTTGATTCATTAAAATGGGAAAAATAAGTGGAGCAAAGCAGCTGGGACAATTTCTGAGTAAATTCATCAGTCATTCAGGAACTATGCATTTAAAATACCTATAAATAATAGAATGCTCCATCTAAATGGAATCCTTTTATTGATGTGTAAGTACAGTGTCACCCTGAAATTTCTTTAACTTATCATTTCCTTGTGTTTAGAATCACATCAGGCAATTTATGTTATTTCTAATTTTTCTACTTTATTTTAGCAGCATTATTTTGAATGGTGTGTGAAATCAAATTGATACACACAGTTGTTAAGCTTTAAAATTACTTTCAGGTAACAAATAATTGTTTTGGAAACTCTGTGCCTTCACTCAATTTTTTTATATTATCTCGAGGACTGACAAAATAATTGGATAACTTCTGTGGTTTTCCACTGGCACTTGTAAATTCCCTTTATTCATATTCTTACAATATATTCTCTTAAATATCTTCTTTCCCCACTGATGATGTTCACGGGACTGCTGATCCTACAGAAAAAGACAGGACAATGAAAATGGGGAAAGTGAAATACTGAGAACCCAGTGTTTACTTTTTATTGTCTGTGTTTAGTTCTCCCACGTTTACAAAGAATAAATAAATTATTTATATTTGCATGTGGAAACAAACATCTGTGGGTTTTTTTTAAATTTTGTTCTAATAGATAAAAAGATGGCCTATCACAAAGTGAATGCAGACCAGAGAGCACAGGGGCACTCTCCATACCTTGACAACGATGAACTCCAAGCCACAGCGTTGGAACTGGAATGGGACATGGAAAAAGAGTTGGAGGAGCCTGGCTTTGACCATTTCCGACTGGATGGTGCAGTCCAGCATCACCTGGGAAACTCCCAGAGCCCTGACCTTGATCTCGAGCCCATCCAGGCTTCATCTTCCCCCAAGGGAAGATTCCAGAGGCTTCAGGAAGACCCCGACTACATCTCACACTACACGAGACAGGCACCAAAGAGCAATCGCTGCAGTTTTTTTCGGATACTGAAAGTATTTTGCACTGCTTTGATTTTATTTATTTTTGGAATTGTGATAGGATATTACGCTCGCAAGAAATGCCCCTCTCCCCCAGCATCTCAAGAACCAAATAATCCTCATATCTACCATGAAATTCTCAAGGAAATCAAAGCTGAAAATATTCAACAGATTTACAGGTATGTACCTTGACATGTTTTTTTGTCTAAATGCAATTAGGTGCCAATGTTAAGGCTTTATGTGATTTGTTTTATGTGGAATAATATTTACAAACCTTGACTTTTTCTTCATGTTCAGTTTTCTCATGATGCTTGGGAAGTTTTCATAACAAAACTAGTGGAATTTACTCATATACAAAACTAGTTGAATTTTTAATAAAGTAAATTTGTGTTAATCACAATAGTTTTGCTTTAGCAATATTCTGTTGCTTAATATGTTATTATCTTTAATGTACATGAATTGAAAAACATAGATTATTCAAGATGAATAGAAATATAAACAATAGAACAACTGTCCTAGGTCCAACTGATTGCCAAATAACACTGTTGAAAAGCAAGGTTTATATTATGTTTTGTAATATTTGGTTTTTTAAAAAATCCCTGACTAATTTTTGGCACAAAAATGAAGCCTGGCTTGTGTTTTTATGTAAATGGTGAATTAAACCTTTAGTCTGCATTGCTTTAGGATGAAAAAATTGACCTCTGCATTCTGAAAGACCACGATTTGCTTATTTTTTATTATTTATAATCTGTTTTAAGAATATAAATTGCTGTAAAATATCCGCTGACTGGAGTTTGATTTTATTTTTTTTTCCATGTGGAATCTTTTCACTGCTTTGAAAGTTTATATAACATGTTCATATTAGAGTATAATCACTTTTTTGTAGCGGTGAGTGTGGAAGAAACTAGGTTTTCCTTCCAACTTTTGCAAGTTATTTGAGGGGGCAGAGGAGCTTATTTTGGCTTCTGGAACGGAAAGTTCCTTTCTCATGATAAAGGCAATGCATTGCAGATTTTTTGATCAGTACCAGTTCAGGAGCAGCAGAACTTACAAACCTGAGGTTAGAAAAGATTGTTGTCATGGTCATCCAAAGAGGTCTTCTTGAGCAGAGCAGAAATACATTTGAAAGTAACCACAGGAGTGCTCTAACAATGTTATCTTTTATTGTATCTGTTAAATCAAGTCCTAAATCCTGACATGGTTAATATAGTGTTTTGAGCCAACACTGTTACTAAATTCAAGGGAAAAAAATAAATATGCAAAATTTCATGTCAGTTTTCATGTGCTGAACTGACTCTACTTTAGACAGACTAATTATTTTCATAATGGGAAAGGGTACAGGTGATGAAAAATGCTGATTTTTCTTTTTTTTATGTAAAAAAGTTAAATTCTTTGTCTTTTCAGAGAGTCAATTGAACTGAATGCTGTCATTAGGCTTAGTCATGACAAAAGTATTGGAATAAACTAAGCCCTAAGATTAGGTATTACACAAATTACAGCAAATTGCTGACATGTCTGTCAAACTCAGGATAATACTTTGTCTTTGGGGACTGGGAATGGCTTGCCATTTTGTTATTTCAAAGAGTGGTTTAAAAACATCCCTTTTCAAACTCTTCATCACTTGTCAAATGATTTCAGCCTACTATTAGGATATTAGTGAGAATCTGGACTTTAAGTGAAATGAATTATATGAATGAATACTTTGGAACTTAAAAAACTTACATAGTTGCTAAGCTTTTACATAATTTTTAGTATTTGATTTTTTTTTTTCTATTTAATGGCATGATTTCAGCAAATGTAGTCAAGCATTAATTCAACTGCCTATCAATTCTGTATATAAATATATAATCAATGCTTTTAGTATACTGCATTACCCACAAGATTTTTCTTAAGCCAACATTTTGATCCGAGACAGATTTTATCCCATGTTGTTTTAAGTTGCTTTTTCTCAACATCTGTTTGGCAATAGTCAGACACTGCAAGGAAACCTGTGTGTGTTTAGCCCCACAAGTACAGAAAATGCAACATATGTTGCTTGGGTAAAAAAACCCACAACCCAAACCTGACCAAGTCAATATATGTTATTGGAAAACTTCTTTCAATATAATACTTTGAGTTATTAGGAAAGTGGCAGCTTCTTAGCTTGCAATTTCTCTTCTACCTGTTACTGAGCATGACATTAATTTAATTATCTGTTTACTACTTAGATCAGACTCGGTAATGGTAAAGGATTTTGCTAACTGTCCTGAGAAAGGAATTGGGAGGAAAAAAACCTGTTTAAAAGACAGAGTTGCCAATCATATTGTCCAAACAGACATCACCTCAGTGTGCTTGCAAGTCTGGAGTGGGAGGTGTTCACCCCAATGGGGGTGAAATCTGCTTGTGGTCAAATGAAGCTTTGAGGATTGGGACCCTCTGGGCTTCTAAAGGGGTGGCAGAAGTGCAGCAGTGGACTCGTGTTTGCTTTCTTGAAATTTGTGGATTCTGTGTGAGCTGAATGAAACCTGTCTACCAATCCACTTTAGGAGTGGAGGATCATTGCTGCCCAGGAAAACGGTTTAGTCCCCGTCCCTGGAGGGATGGGAAAGGTGTGTGGATGTCTTGGAAGTGCTGGGTTAGTGTTCTTGTCCAGCTTCTCCACTGGAGGCTCTTGGTGGGAGCCGGTGTGCAGCTCTTCTGTCAGGCCCATTCTGGCTGTCTCCATCAACCAGGTCCATGATAAGCATTTTTCCCAGCAGACACACTAGAAATCATTAGGTAAGAAAACTCAGCGTTGGCTTTTATTCCTTCAACTTTGCACCTTGCTTCCTGTGAAATGTCAATGTTACAGAATTTCCGTGCAATTTAGCACGGTTGTAATTACTGGTCTTGGCCACGTTCCTAATCAATGATACAGCCTAAGTAAACATTATCTCTGTAAGCCTTTCTGAACACTTCCCCCTGCCCCCTGCAGGGAGGTGCTTGCAATGGTGACAGGAAAAAGTTGAAATCAGTTTACTCCTGATGTTTCAGGGGTTTCAAGAGGTGTTATGAGAGGTGCCTGAAAGAGGAGAAGGAGTTGTCACCAAAAAACTTGGAATTTTTCTTCATCCTGCACGTTACGTTTTGCATGCTGACAAAAACTGACACAAATACTACTAATAGGACTCAATCAGTAAATCTAATGATTTAGTAGTATGAATGATTTGCTCAGATAAATATTTATGACATAACCTGTTCCATAATACAGGAGATTCAGAACTGGTAAAACCAGATATAATTCTGCAAACATCACTGGGCTGATAGGAATCCAGTAATTGTATCTGTCCGTGCTGTGAATATGACTTCTCCCAGTTTTCTTTCTTTCTTCTTTATGTCCTTATGAAAAGGGCATAAATCCCACACCCAAAAGAGACCAGGTGGAAGTTGAAACACAAAATACTTTGGGCGCTGTTTAAATTTATATCCATAACCAGCAGAACTTACCAGGACAAAACAGATGGATAAAGCTGGTAAAACTGATAGGCTGAAAGCAGGTTATCTGCTGGGACAGCTGGGTTCAGACTCCATGGCAAGACTGAGTTCTCAGAGCCCTTTTAGAGAGAGCATGTCAGAAGGGCAGAGCTGGAGGGTCGTCTGTGCTTTGAGTCTGCACCGTGCTCCCTGAGGAATGTGTCTGCAGCTCCCAAGCACAATCATTAGCCTAGGAAAGGTCCTGTTTTCAAAAGTGATGAATGCTTTTAGATGTGGAAGTCTCTACAGTTTATTATAAATGCTGAAGGTCGTAAGAGTCAGACTTTCAAAAATATAGAAACACCCAGTAATTTCGATAAGTGCGCTGTTGAATTCTCAAAAGGAAATTTGCAATTAAAAATTTCACAATTCTCACTGAAATCTGACTTTTTAAAGCTACTTTTTCAAATGGCATTTAGATTTCTAGTATCACTTAAGTGCTTTTGAAAATTCAGCTGGTTTTTCCTTCTTACTCTGTATAAAAAAGGGGATACTAAAGAAGTGTATTTTTCTTCTGTTGCTACATATCTGACAGATTCAGGGTAAAATGGTAAACATTTGAGTTTTGTGCAAGTGAACTTTGAGTATTTTCAGTTAAGATTTGAGTTTAATATTATTAACAAAATCCAAAGGGGCAGGTCAATAAAAATGCAAAAAGTAGCAGAAATGCAGTCTTTTCAAAGACCTCTGAGATTATAATTATCACTATTATCCAATTTGACATCTTTTTCTTAAAAAATATGTATTGCATTGCATCTTTAATTTCTTTATTGAGCATTTCAGTAGGGGAAGTATGAAAAATGGTATTTTTATTTTATAAGAAATTATTTCAGTTGAATTGCTCCAAAACCAGGTGAAAATGAAACTATCCTAGTTTATTTGGAGAATGTGGGGTATCATATTTTTTTACGGTTGTAATTTTGGGTTTGACTTTTGCAAATTAAATGGATAAACAAAGATTCATGTTGAATAGTAAGAATTAAAAAAAAAAAAAAAAGGCAATTGTGTTGTTGTCAATAACCCTAGCTATACATTGTTTGTCAGATCAGCCAATTCACTCTTATGTTTTTAAAATTCTGCCTTCTTCTGCTTTACTTAGTAATTCCTCTCAGCAATCATACATCTTGGTTACTATTAGATTCACAGTTTCTTGGATACATTTTTCCATTATTAAAACTGGGAGGGGGCACAGAGAAAAGAGTCTTTGCTTTGCTCTCCAACCAGTCTGTAGAACGACTCCTACATTTCACCTCTGGTTTTTATCCTGTATGTTCTCACTCAAATGCTTTCTTCACTATCATTTTTTCTCCTCCTCGAGCAATAGGGAGGTTTAAATCCCTTTGTAATACCTGTAGTTATAACTAACTGTCCTTTAGAGACATATCTGTTCCTTATTCCAGCGTGTAATATCACCTGCAGAATCTCCCAAATCCATCTGTGGCAAGAATTGATTTGTCATTGGTGCCTGTTGCCAACCATAACTTCAGCTTAATTCTTCAAAGGACTTGGAAGGGCAGGCAGCAGCAGCTCTCCTGAGCAGTCATGGCCAAAGCACAAAAGTGCCTGTGCAGTGAGAAAAGGAACTTGCTTGTTATTTTCTTTAAGTGAAGTGAGAAACTTCCATACGCAACTGTTTCTTGTCCCTGATCAGTTGTAACCAGTACTGTTAAAACCTTGGAGCTTCAAA